AAAAAAAAGAATGGATAAATACCCTACTCTTCACTTTGTTCAGTGCTGATGCCAGGTGAGTCCCAATCTGATTTCACCAAAGAAAGCATGCATTTAAATAAAGCATATTTGCTATAAAAAAAAATAGTGAGCTGCACTGCTAACTCAAAAATCCAAGTGTCTGGTGGTCTGAACTTCACCAGCAGCTCTGCAGGAGAAAGACTGGGAGTTTCTTCATGTTGCTATTTACAGCCTTACAAACCTGACAGAAGGGTCCTTATGAGTTAGAACCAACTCAATGGCAGTAAGTCTGAATTTCAGATTAATAGATGGAATAAGAATACATATGCCAATAAAAATTATAACAACTCCACATGCCTATAAAGGTTCAAGAAGACTTGATTAAACAAACTAGTGCAGGAAAGCAAAATTATTTATTCTCAACATAAAACTCTAATTTATAATCACTTTCCCTCCTCATTGAAAGAAATTTTTATAACTTAATTTTTATTTTATTTTAAATGAGTTACACCTGAATGCATAATCAGCAGCAGCACTGTCAGTCTTGTAGGCCTGAAAAGGGATTTATTGACCTTTACTATTTACTAGCAAGTGAAAAAAAAAAAAACAACAACTAAAGTCTCTTCTCTGCCCTAATGAAGTACAATATTAAGGAACACATAATAAATATGAGCAGACCAAGCTTGCCTGAGATCAGAATGATACTGAAGTGGGTACAACAGTAATGCTACCTCCTGTGTTTTATCAAGGAAAGAGCATGATGAATTTAACCTCAAATTCTACTTCTTATAATTCTCCCTGTTCTCCTCAAAAATGGCCTCAAATCCCAAAGATGTTAAAAAAATCCCACCAAACTAAATCTTTAGGAATTCTTTTGCATTGTAATTGCTGACCAGACTCATCGGACTTTCAAAGACTTTAAGTAAATGTGCACACAGTATTTAACAAAGGCTGTAAGAATTAGTTTTTGATATTTGAAACACTTGCCATCTTGGAGGGATAGTCCTTTGGAAATCCTTTGACAGGACTACCAAATACTCTTCTTCCATTGATAAAAGCTTTCATTATAAAATTTGTCACTATAGAGAGAGAAGAAAGAACCCAGTTAGGTGGATTAAAAGGAAAAAAAAATTCTCAGGAAAATTTACAAAGTCACTTACTTTTCCTTGACAATCCAGCTCCGAGATTATGATTCAAATCAAAAGGATCTATGTAAAGAAAATCAATGACAGTAAGATAATGAAATAGGAAATATCACCATTTATTTAATAACTGAAGTACATATAAAAAAGAAAATGTACTCTTTGCTCAAGGGAGCTCCAGTGGCCTAGTGGATAAAGAGTTGTGCTACCAACCCAAAGGCAGGCAGTTTAAATCCACTGGCTGCTCTGCAGGCAAAAGATAGCTATCTCCTTCAGTGTGATTTATAGATTGCCAAAAACCACTGGAGGGTCACCTACAAATCAATTTTGACTCAAAAGCACTCAATAACTATAAATTGCTGTATCTGTATTAAATGTGTCTATTAAATGAGTTTAAAGTCTGCAACATAGCTAGGTAACAGATATTCCTAACTATAATGAAGGTTTTCTCCAAAAGTGTCCATCAGAAAAGAGTTATGTCTTATATTTGAATGCTGACGATATATGTAGTCTAAAAAAACGGTCACAAAATGAAAGCACCATTTTAAAACCAGAACCATTTTAAATACCAATTAATAATGAACACATTACACCAGAATTTAACTATTTTCTATTACATGACTAAAATATATTCAAGGGAACAAAAAAAAAATTCAAAAATAAAACAAACAAGAAAAAAACCACTGAGAAAAGACAGGATTGTATTTATACAGTATACACAACATGAAGTAGTGAAAATGAGGTCTTCTTTAGGTTGTCCCTTACACTTCTAATACACAAATACTAAGGTGGGCCATCCTAAGCTATGGACTCACTAAGAGTGGACTGGAGTACAGAAACCCTGCCTTTAACTTAAAAATTCTATGAACAAGGTTATCTTCTTAGCTGTGCCACCACTATTCTTGCTATCTTTTTCTATATTATTTCATCACCATTCTTAAAAATCTCTGTCCCTTAAACTCGCCATCTACCTTTTGAGTTGCTGCTATGAATCTGAGTCATGCACTGTTCTTTAAAACAACATAATGGGGGAAGCTCTGACAGCCTAGTGGCAAGAAGCTAGACTGCAATCCCAGAGGTACACGGTTTGAATCCACCAGATGCTCTGCTGCAAAAGGAGGGGCAATCCCCTTCTGCATCAGTCAGATCTGATTTGACGGTACACACACACAAAATTAATAAAATAATTAAAAAAACCAACCCAACAGATAAACCTTAGCAGTGAAAATAAAACTAATTTTAGGTTCAAAGAAGTAATTTATTTTTTGGGTTACAGTTTGGGTTAAGGCTTAAAGATTATCTCCAGGCAGTAGTTTTAGAGGCTCACTCAGCTTCAATAATTCCAAAAGTCTAGCTTCCATGATCACTATGTTTTCGTTATGGCACAGAGGTATTAGTGTAGTACAGATGCCTAATATTAACTACTGGATAACTAAAAATCCTATTATAACTGGTTACTCAGCTCTATCACAACAGGTTATAAAACCCTCTATGAAGTCGTCTTTCTAGCTTAGCCTGTTATTAAAGGCTCATCTAAAAGGAACCTAATAATTCAAACAAAAAATAAGGTTTCAAAAATTAGAAAGATTAGTAAATGGGTGAGATTATAAAAACCTACTGTGATAAGGTAAAAAAAATTAAACTTTTTTTCTTTTAAATGATTTTAAAATTTTTTGAAAAAATTTGTTTCATTTTGTTCTATGCTGTTTTTTATTATAGAGTTGGAACCAACCCCTTGACCTTCCAATGGTTTTTCAGAGGCAGTTAATCACACACACAGGAGATTACTCATCTTTCTCCCACAGAGGAACTACATGCCTTCAGGACTGCAGTGCAGATTTCTGCAACTGTCTTCAACCCACTGTAGGCTGAATTTAATTTTACAAATATTCCGTGTATGGTAGTACTATCAATAGGCAGAAGAAGAAACGATAAAAGTGTAATCTACAGATACACATTACTGATGTAAAATATATTTAAAGAAACAACAAAATACTATTAAAATTAACAAAGAATTTCTTTGGCCATTTCTCATGTTGCTTGTATTTTAATTTCATTTTTTTTTTAAAGTAAAACTCAGTAAACTGGAAATAAGTAATCAACTATAAACATTAATGGTTCTTTGTAGGTTTACATTCAAACAGAGAAAGATAAAGTCAGTAAGTCCAAATGTATATATTAGTATTGGGCAAATGTTTCGATTGTTAGCAAATTAGGTCTTTCTTCAAATACTCAAGGAAGAAGCTTTTTTTTTTAAAAACAAAAATCCTACTCTCTTCAAGCTCATGTTTCTTATTCTTCAACATGAATGGTTCACCAAGATTTGTCACAGTGAACAGACTTCTGGACTCGTGAAACCTCCAGTCATGCAGAAATCATTATTCAGGCTAGAAAGAGGTGAGCCACTGGGATGGATGGCTGCTGGGGAGTTGTACTGCATAGCTCAGGTCTTGTAACCATAAGACCTTCAAAGGATGAAAAACAGTGCGCTCACAGTTAAAAATGTACAGTTGGTTCAATTTTAAGGTGGGTATTATTGATACCTTCAATAACAATGTATTTTGAGGTCCACTGTTTCTTGAAAGTTGTAAGCAGACTTTTTCTCCTTATACTTATAACATGTTCTTTAAAATCAAATTCCTCTGTGTAGAATCGAAGAAGTCCCAACCATAGTTGCCCAACAGATTCTGTATTTTTCCCATATTCTGGCCAAAAGGTAGGCTAGAAATAAAAGGACACAGGGATTTATGTTTCATACTAGAGTGCTAGTTCACTACCCATTTTGTCTTAAGGAATAAACTTCTATTTATTTCTACTTAAGGGACTACTAGCATATAATGCATTATGCACAGTGGTAGGTACTGAAAAGTGAGTAGTTTGAATCCACCAGGGCTCCATGGGAGAAAGATGGGTAGGCTCTTCCCATAAAGATATTAGAGTCTGAAACTTGAGAGATGGTCACCAGGAGTTGGAAACTGACTCCATGACAGTGGATTTGGTTTTGGTTTGGTATTTCTAATTATAAGCAGAGTTCAGACACATAAAATATATCAATACATAATTCTTTCATACGGTTTATACATAAATTCACTCATCTCTATGACTTGGAGAAAGGGAAAACTCAGAGTTTTACATTCCAAGTGTCAGAAAACATAGTCCCATGGAAGAAATAAAAAGAAATTCAAGGGTTTTGGTGAATTCCAAGTTTTTGTAGCTCAAAGAAAATCTTTCTAAACTCTCAGAACAAAATTATAAGTGGCACCATTAATTCTTTCTGAATTAATTAACCACATGGAATTATTAGGCATTAAAGAAATCTTAGATACAGTCATCAGAAATTTCATTGGCTCAACATATTTCATTTCAAATGAAGTTTCTATGAACAAGTAATAACATGGCTGATTCACACTACAGCACTTTGGATCAATGATGTAAGAAAACTGTTACTCTTAAATACATACCAGTTCATCTATTTGATCAAAAAAATATGTATTCCAGCCATCAACAAGTATTTCAGGTTTTGTTTCATCTCTGTATATCTGAAATTCATTTATACAATGTAAGTATGGAACATAAATAATGCACTGAAACAAAAACTTGAAGGAAAACAGTTAAAACTGAACTACACGTTCAACGATTTCAGAGTAGGAAAAGAGCACAGAGATCAGTGAGATTTATAATTTCTTCCATGAATACCTCTTGAAGAACAGGAATGACTGGTGGGTTCCTCTGCTGGAGAAAATACAGCACCATAAGAGTGTACGCATATGATGACAAGCTGCCTCTTGATGCATCACCAATATCACACATCTATAGGAAAAGAAAACTAGGAACTGTAAAAGGAAGACCACTGACATTTTCTGCTAAATGTGCATCTATTTTAAAAATATGGAATAGTTACTAAAAAAGGATTTTATGTAGGGGACTGAAATAAAAATCGTATTTCAAATGCTGAAACAAAATCAATTACTCAAACCAACCAAAGAATAGCAAAAAAGCAAGGGAAACATCAGCCACAACCAAGATTAGATGTAAAAGGAACAAAATTTTAGTTAGCTGAGTTAGGCATGCCAAATAAAGGAGAATCTGACATGGCTATCATTAAAGGCACACCGGTGGCTTTGTCATTCAGTGCCTAGCTTTTAGCCAAAAGTTTGGAGGTCTGTGGGAAAAGATGCAGCAATGTGCTCCTAAAAAGATACTCTATTCTCTCTCATCGCCATCAAGCTGAAATAGGACTCATAGCTATAAATTACATGGGAGGAGACTGCTCATTCTTCCCCATCAGAGTCCCTGGAGGATTTGAACCAAAATATTTGTGGCCTTTCAGTTAGCAGTGAAATACACTATGGATTTTGGTTGGTTCTGCTTGATCATGTAGTGCTGCAATGAACTGAAATTGATTTGATGACAATGTTGTTGTGAGCCACTGAATTAGAACCAACCCATATTTGATCCTCTAGTGGGTTTTCAGAAGCAGCTTAATCATGTGGGAGGAGATTGCCCATCCTTCTCCAGAGGAGAAATATGCCTTTGGGACTGCAGCACAGCTTCTTACCACTAGGCCACCAGGGCTTAGTTTTTAGAAGATTTTTTATGTTTAAGATTCTAAATATACAGACTTATATTTTCAACAAAGTTTGAAGATGCAACAAAACTTCCTGATAAAATCCTAATTGGAAGGCTACTCACCTTTGTAAACACTTTCATGGTATAGCACAAGTATTTCACTCTAGGGTCAATGGCTGAATAAGCAGCTAACAACCTTGTATTGTGAAGGGCCTGTTTAAAGAAAAAAATTACACTGTAAAGCTATCAATTAGAAGAAAAAATGTAACTGGAATAGTCTGACAACATTAGGCTTACGCTGTAGAAAGAATATTAACATTGAAGTTAATCTCCCCTTTCTCCCTCCCCAAGACAAGCTTCATAATTTACTAGATAATAATTAGGAACTGAAGTCAGCATTCTGTTAGTGTTACTTGAGTGAAAATTTACTAGAAAATAAGGGCAATTAGAATGAACATTAATATGAATTTAATTCCATTATATATCCATTCTCAGAACACTGCCTCACATGGTAAGCTTTCTGTTGAAAGAATAAGTAAGATGAAATGAATGGTTCATTTAACTTAAGATTTTCTAAGTTTCTCTTAACTTCCCTTAAAAAGTGTCAGAGAAAATCTTACCAGTGTGTTATACAGACTGATATCCACTTCAAGACCACTTCTTGAATGGATGAACTTTACAATTGGTACCTTTGCTGTTGTAATAGGTAAGATGTTTCTTAGACCTAAGTTTGGAAATAAAATTGTACTGTTAGATACATTAACTGGAGTTTGTAACTTGATGTTTACAATTTTAAAACCCAATAAATCTAACTTTGGCTTGCGAATAGTCAAAGAATTCTCTATTATCAACAAAGACCTAAGAAAACTTCTGAAAAGTTTACGTTCTGTTAAGTATTGTAGATATTTGAACTACCGGAATGAACAAGGATGTCACTGCCTTCCAGGAACTTACTGGATTGTGTGTGCACATACATCTGTATATGTGTGGGTGTCAGGACAGGGAAAAGTGCCACAGCCTCTGGACTACATGAGACTGGCTGACTCTCTCTATGAGCATATCTAACTTGGTAATCTGAATTGTCAGAACAAGATACTAACCATAGAGCTAGAAGTCACAAAGGTAACAAAAGAATTAACTCTAATGGAAAAAGAGGTCTAAATTAGGTGGTTCCCCCCAACCCCCTCAACTAGACTTTAAAAAGGAAAGAGAAGCAACAGGCAAAAACTGGAAGTTGAAGTTTAGCAGGCAAGGAAAACTTCCTGGAAAAGATGCAGCTTGAAATAAGCTTTCAAGCATTCAAGAAAATACCATGGAGCTGTACAGGCTTCAGAAACGATCTAACAGAAAGAAATAATGAGTAATATGTAATGGGGCAGAAACTAGGAAGAATCTGAATTTAAAAGGTATATAGTCTGCTAAAAAGTATCCTTCGTGAGCTAGTGTAATTTGGGAAGAATACCTGAGTACAGCTATTTAGACAACGCTCATGGCAATGGGTAGATTAAAAGATAATTGGCTGTTGAGTCAGTACTGACCCATAGCTGACCCTCCAGAGGGTTTCAGAGGCAATGAATCACATGGGAGGAGACTGTTCATCCCTCTCCTGCAGAATAGCTGGTGGATTCAAACTGTGTGCCTTTTGGGATTGCAGTGAAGCTTCTTTCCACCAGGCCACCAGTAGCAACGGCAATGCAGAATAGAAACAAGGTCTGTGTATGTGGACCTCCACAAATGTGTCCAGTCAGTGGTGATGGGATGACAAGGGCAAAGGGAGAGAGGGAGTGAGCCTAACGTGTCACAGATACATGTAAAGACTCTTCTTTTAACACTGCAGAAGGTTGTGAACCACACAGTAGGAGATCTGAATGATCAGAGAGGTGAGCTGTCTTTGGATTAGCAGGGCCAGTAAGTGAATTTAAGTGACCTGTTCAGGGTCACATACAGTGAGTGGGTTGAATAGAAAAGCTGCACACACAGTCCACAAGCCAGGCCAAAATGCTTTCCCACAGCACTCCTGTAAACAAAGAACACACTTGGATTCATACTGTAGAGAAGGCAAAATAGCTCTCAAAATCTGTCAGTATAGTTTATGCTTTCTTTTGAAATAAAGCTGCACTATGCAATAAAATGCACACAAAGTGCCAATTCCTCAGATCTACATGCTTATTCGCAAAAGACTTTTAAAGACACTAAATAGAAGAAAGAGGGGCAATCTCCTGTGCCATTTATTGCCTCTGAAAACTTGCAGAAGGGTCAGCTATGAATCAAGTCCAACAACACATTAGCAAGATTGCAAAAATTCTGTGAATTAGCATTGTACAGCTTATTAATTTTAGTAAATTGTAAGTATGTAACACAATAATAAGAAATTTAAGAGATACCTGAATGTTTTCTGAGGAATCTTGCTAAATCTTCAATAGTTCTTACACAGTCCAAGCCCTACAACAAAGATGGCATATGTACTGAATGAAAAATAGAAAATTTGTTTTTTGTATCTTTTAAAATAAAAAATATTTTACGGTGATTTAGGTGAAAGTTTACAAATTAGATTGGCATTCAGCAAATTTCTTCCAAGAAATGTGACTTGCAGCAATACCCATAATGAATGGTCTCCCTCTCTCCTGCTTGGGCTACTTACTTCTGCCTGCCCAGTCTTTCCTGCCCCTTCCTAACTTTCCTTTTCGGACAAACACTGCCCTTTTGGTCTTGTATAACTGTTCTGAGGAGCATGTTCCTCCCAAGTGTTACTATCCACTTTACTGGGGTGATGAGTTCTTAAGCTGGTTATAAAGTTTCTATTATCTTCAGAAATAATAAAACTAATTTCAACTTATTTTAAATACTCTTTCCCCCTTTTAGGCAAGTATCATATGTAGTCAGTATTTATAGCAAATATCTAATATAAAACTGCTAAATTATTTTATTTATGAACTGATTTTATAGGTATAAGAAAAGCCGAATTGGACAGGAATTCTAGGGGCCCAGTTGTTGTTATGTGTCGTTGAGTCACTTGCGACTCTCAGCAACCCTATATTCAACAGTCCTAAATCTTGCTCTATCCTGTGCCAATCTTACTGTCTCTGACACACCTACCCCCAGTACCTGTCACTGAATCAATCTATCTCATAGAGAATCTTCCACTCCTGTGCTGTCCCCTCACCCTCCCAAGCATGATGTCTTTCTCCAAGGACTGTTCCCGCCTTGCAACATGTCCAAAGTATGTAAGACGAAGCTTCAGAATCCTTGCCTCCAAGGAGCAGCCTTGTCTCACTCTCTCTAGGATGAACTTGTTTGTTCTATAGCAGTCCATGGTATATTCAACACTCTTCTTCAGAAACATAGCTCAAAGGCATCAACACTCCTTCTATCATCCCTAGTCATTGTCCAGCTCTCTGCTGCATTACAAGAAATTGTAAAGACTATGGCCTGGATCAGGCACACCTCAGTATCCAGGCTGGCAATGTTGTTCTTCAGTACTTGGAGAGGTCTCTGACAGAAAACATTCCCAATACAATCCGTCTTTTAATTTCCTGGCTGCTGGTACCAAGAGTGTTGATTGTGGAGCCAAACAAACTAAAATTTAACAATCTCAATCACTTCACCATCTTTCATGATGCTGCCAATTGACCCAGTGATGAGAATCTTTGTTACTTGATGTGGAGCTTCAATCCATATTGAAGGCTGTAGTCCTTTACCTTCTGCAGCAAGCACTTCAGGTCCTCTTCTGTTTCAGCAAACAGGGCTGTGTCATCTGCATAACGCAGACTGTTGATGAGTCTTCCTCCAATCCTGATGCCCTATGTCTCCCCATAGAGCCTAGCCTCCTGGATAATCTGTTCTGCATACAGACTGAAAAGGTATAGATAGGACACATCCCTGGTGTACAACCTTCCCAATTTTGAGCCATGCAGTGCCTCCTTGCTCTGTTCTGATGACTGCCTCCTGGTCCAAGTATAGGTTTCACATAAGCATGATCAAAAGTTCTGGGATTCCCATTCTTCTCAGAGTTAGCCACCGTTTTTGGTGATTCACACAGTCAAATGCCTTTGTGTAGTCAATGAAACACAGATAGCCATTTCTCTGGTACTCTCTGCTTTCAGCCAAGATCCATTTAACATTAGCTATAATATCTCTAGTGCCACGGCCTGCACATCTGGCGGTTTTCTGTTGATGATGGTTCCAGTCGTTTTTGGATAATTTTCAGCCAAATCTTACTTGCATATTAATGATACTGCTTGATAATTTCCAAACTCTGTCGGGTCACCTTTCTTTGGAATGAGAATATAGTTCTCTTCCAGTCGGCTGGCCAGCACCTGCAAAGTCTTGGAGCCATGGCAGGAACCTCCATTCTTTCCCACTACATAATACTATTGTATGTAATTCTATTGTACTGCTCATGAGTACATCAGGTGCTTGAAAAATAAAAAGGTCTTCTGCACCGTATGACTTACTCCAGGTAAATCTTGGTTATTGTTTAATTAAAAACCATGAACTGCTGTGGAGAGTGCTTAGGCTAAAATTATTGTACCACTATCTAAAGTATCATTTATACTTAAAAACATTCTGATGGCTCTAGTCATGCCAGAACATATTTACATTTTAACTTTGGAAATGCCTTCTAAACTAATTTTAACCCAATGCTGAGAAAATGGAAAAAAAAAATAATGTTGAGGCCAAATCTAAGATTGCTTATTCACTTTATTCATGAAACACGTATAAGACAACTTTTGGCTATGTATCAAATCAGATACATCTTTAAAAGGCAAAAAAGTCTGAATGGTATTCATTTGCACATATATAATCTGGACTGTTGATAAGTGACAGGAAAATAAAGAATAATAACATTTCTTTCTGAGACTATATAGTATTATGATGTTTATAAAGCTTGAGGGGGCTGGCAAACTTTTTCTATAAAGCACCAGAGTAAATATTTTTCCATTTTATGGGTCATACCACCTGTTCCAACTTCTCAGAGTGAAGACAGCAATAGATAAGATGCAAATAAGTGGCTGTAGCTATGCATCAAGAAAACTATATTTACAAAAGCAGGCATGGGGATAACTTTGGTCCATGAGGTTTTACTTTTCTCAATCCTGACATAAATGGTGCAGAATAATTTTCTTGAGGTAAAAAGAACAGAAATTATTCTTTGTACTCTCCAGTGATGCACCAATGGCCACATGTAGGCACTGATGAAAAGAAGTCGAACTCAAATCTAGGCTTCCGATTATACACTTAGCACTGTTCCTGCACCACTGCCTGCTCAGTTATAATGCAGCACATCTCTTGTGTGCATGTGTGCCTAGCCAGCCAAAGGGACATGCCAGTGGGGCAATGGAAAGGCTGATCTGACTATGCTGAATACCCTGATGTTCCCTTCAAATATATTTTTGTATTATACTGGTTAAGAATTAATGTGTTCCTATCTACCCTTATTAATATTTTTGGACAGGGAAATTGGGAAAACAGCAAGCTGCACACTCAATCAAGGCTGGTGAAATGACACAGACGGATATTTTATGTGGTTACTTTACCTCAGCAGTTTCAAGTCCATTAATTGTCATACAGACATCAAGGTCACTCTGTTTGAAACCAAAACCATTTTTCGAGGAGCCAAACAAGCTCAATTTAGTTCCTGTTAGGGATATATGAAAAGTAATTAATTTCTGATCACAATGACCCTTTCATGGTAAAAATACCTAGTTATCTAGTCTGTTTTAGTAATAAGGAGTTGCACTGCCAACCCAAAGGCAGGCAGTTCATATTCACCACCCTCTCTGCAGGAAAAAGATGGACAATCTCCTCCTGAGTGATTTACAGCCTCTGAAACCTACTGGAGGGTCAGCTATGAGTCAGTTCCAAGTTGATGGCACATAAGAACAACAAAAACATGCCAGGTTAATACTTATCCTAATATATTCCCTCTCAGAGTTGACTTTAATTAAATATGAACTACTTCAATTAAATACAAACAGTATATGGCATGAAAGATAACCATGTGCCACTTCATTAATAAAGGTGATCATGAGAATTTTCGACATTCTATAACAGAAGCCTACTATTCTTGACCAAATATAACATTAGATGAAATTCACTTAAGATGTATCATCAGATATTATCAGAGCCTATTCCTCCCTAATAAAGATATCACACTCTACTGTCACCTTTTCTGTTGGGTCAACTGGGATTTGGCAGATCAAAAGACCATTCTAAAAATCAGTGAAACTCTGTTCTCATCACAAAATTACTTTATATTCTCAAAAAAGGTCACACTATTTTTCTTAATATAAAAAAATATCTTACCTGGAAACTCCTGCCTTAAGAAACTTTCCAAGTTTTGCCGAATATGTTCACGAGCCTGATCTTCCAAAGTTGTTGGTGAAAAGTCCTCTGTATAAAATAAACAAACACATTTTGGGGATGAGGTGGCGGGAAAAAAAAGGTCTTTAGTCATTATTGCAAAAGTCTGAATAAAACACCTCTTATAAACTTAAAAAAACCCTGTAACAACTTCTCTTCTCAGTAGACAGTAATAATAGAATGCCTTTTTTTTGACCCAAACGGCTCCTGAAATAGAAACACCTGAACAAGGCTCTGTACTTGGGTTTCAAAGAGAGCCTTCCCCATTGGGGTCTACAAAGGTGAACTTGAGGTAAAGCTTGCGTACAGCTGAAGCCTGTGCAAGGTGAAAATAAAATTAGACTGGAAATATAAAAAAGACAATTTAAAGCAACAGAAGAATGGTATTAAAATGGTATGTCTAGTTCCTTTTAAAAGCAGACAACTCGTAAGGTCAGAAAAATCAAAGCAGCGCTGTTGAGTGCAAGCACTCACAAGTGTTAGCACATAATTTTCTTTTGACAGAATGCATAGCTTCCTCTTCCCACGCACATTGGCTCATAATTCAGTTCCTAATGGGTTTTAGAAAGTCATTAGCTTATAAACATTTATTTTCTTTTTTGCCAGTACTTTAATGAGAACTAAGGCCTGACATTCAAAGCTCTAACTGCTCTGGCCTATTCCCTCTTCTATTCTGCTCTTCTGGCTACTGACTGTATTTTGTCCACATTTAAAAGATGGTCATCTTGGAAATGATCTACCAGACTCCATTTTCATAGAAGACATCAATTAGGGGCCAGAGACTCAGTGCTCCCACTCTTTTCAGGTAAAAAGTGAACATGGCAACACAAACACATAAACAATTCAAACCACTTTAATCTTTAATCAGAAAGGGACTGGAACATTTTAAATGTAAACATTTAAAAAAATACATTGTTTTATTGTTGTGTACTGCTGAGTCAGAACCAACTTATAGCAGACCCTCCCATGGTTTTTCAGAGGCTGTAAATTGACTAGAGACTGGCCATCTTTCTCCCATTGGAGCAGCTGGTAGATGTGAACTGAATGACTGTTAGCAGTGCAACTAAGCCACTACAGACAAAAAGAGTGGTGAGGAAAAGTATAAAGACTGGCAGGGCTGGGTTCAGGTACACTTCAGTCCTTAGACTGAAGCCTTTCTTTAAAATGCAATTTTCCCACTTTCTTCTTTGGTTCCCTGTAGCTTGCCTCTCTTTAAATGTCCCCCTTGCCTTGTGGGACTTTAAAGTGTGTGTATACCAATGTTTCCCCAAATTGGTTTTTTTTTTTTTAAAAGAGGCATATAGATTATTAATTAGTGTTACTTAAAAAGAGTTCTCTATATAAAATCAGGAAAGTTTAATGGGATTTTAGAACTATTTCTCAGTAAATTTTTATTATGTGAATGTGCCCAGTAAATCTCTGAGAAAGGGGCAATATACAGTTATTCTCTACTTGACCTGTGAGGTATTTGTTTTTAAGGAATTATTTTCTGTACATGTCAAATGAGACAGACATTAAACTGACCCCTGTAGACATGACATAGAATAAACTTAATACTTAAGACCTTAAAAGTTATTGATTCCTATGACTCTTGCATAAATAACAATATACTGTTTTGACAAAGTAACAGAAATGTTAACAACTTACTGTAGCACTGGATGCAAACTTGATCTAAGATATTTAAAAATTTGGGTGTTAAGGGTGGCAGGGGTTCCAGCTGGATCCGTTTGAAGTCTTCGGGACAGTCCTTCTTCAGATGACCCTCTCGTTTGCATAAACTACACACCACTGTAGGAGACTACAAGTAGACAGAAAAGCAAAGTAAGGCTGGAAACTTTTCCAAACCAAACCAAATGGTCTTAAACCTTTTTCTTAAAGTACACAGTCTACTCTCCACAAAACATAAAACAATAATGTACAGCTATACTAAGCCATTTGAGTGGAGAGTGCCTATATGATATATACTCAGAAAAAAAGGCAAATCTTTCCATTGCTAACTTCATTTTCATTACTTTTCTCTTATATAGACTTCAATGAGTTTGAAGCTGTGATTTTGACCAAGTGGTTGTATTAGAAATAACTATCAAGTAATTAACTACTACAAAAAACCAAGAGTTCCTTGCTCTAGTCTACAAAAACCAAGATTTCATGTTAATGTCTCCTAGCTTATATCTAGTAGTGGCAACTGATTACCTTGCCTTTGGTGAAGAGAAGTTTACTAAATTCATAGAAGAGATCAGACTGGTCTTCAGTTGAATATTCTCCAAATACAGTTTCTTCCTTAAGACTTATTTTATTCAGTTCTCCTAGCAGAGTTCTAGCTGCATGTTTCTCACATTCTTTCAAGTCTTCATTCTTGGCAGACTCATCCAATTCTTCATCGTCTTCAGACAGTGCGTCCTCCTCACCTGAGCCAGTATAGGTGTTGTCCAACTCCTCTTCATGAGCTATGCCATCTTCATCTTCCCTCTGGTTAACAGTGACTCTGTGTTCTTCATCCTCCTCTTCTTCATCAGAGTGGATGACTTCCAATGTGTGGCTCCGTATTGAGGGAGTAAAGTGGTAAAGAGAGTCGTCTAGATCATGATTTCCTTCTATGCTTTCTTCATCAATATTAGCCTGGACAACTATAGTAACAAATCCCTCACGACCTTGGACTGTAAGATTTCGGAAATGTTCTAAATCCAGGGTCCTATCAGCCTCATAATGTGTGCCACCACAGACAGAAAGTTCTCCATGTTTGCTACTGTTTAAATTCTCATTGTGAGCAGCCAAATGATGTTGGCCCTCACTTCCAATTTTCAAATTTTCATCTTCACCTCCTGTTTCTTGACAGTGCATGGAAACATCTTGGGAACTATCACAACTGGCTTCTGTCTTGCTATAGTGTGAGTTTTCCAGGTTTACACTGATGTGCACATTTCTTATTTCCTCTGCTGGTGGAGCTCCAAAGAGATCAGTAGTCTGCTTAAGAGGAAGTGGCTGTCCTTTGTGAGTATTTGCAGATGGACTGATAGCACCAGGATCCCGAGCCAAAACTGAGCTTTTAAGTTTGTCATCTTTTGCTTGAACAGCTGGATCATTATTTATTACTTCTTTAGAATACTCTGAAATACCTGCAGTGGAATCTCCAAGCTTTAGAAGGCTGGATTTTGTAATTTTGTGTGGAAGAGCAAAATATTTATAAGTTGTTCTTAAACAATGAAGTATATATTCAAATACAAGTTGATTATTAAGGGTTCTTGCCACATTCCTTTTAACAGAGTAAGGATCTGAAACAAAATAAAATATATCACATCACACATGTACATATATTTTAAATATTAATCAGCTATCTATAAGTCACATAATAAAGTTAAATTTATCATGTATTTTTTTAGGTTTTTGTGTTTGTTTTTTTTTTAAATCTGGGAATAGGAGCCATTAGGGACATACGAGGAATAAAAAAAGACTTATTTTCCTAAGTATTTTCTGCATGAGAGCCCCTTCAGCTCAGAACCAGTACCCCTTCCCTACTTAGTTCTGTGACCTTGGAGGTAGAGATGGCAACAGACTGGCTGCACTTGGGAAGTGAGCTCTTCCCAACAGGCACTGCTGAGGGCTCTGCCTCCCCACTCAGCCAGCTCCTGTGCTCTGTAAAGCTTACCTCCGCTCTTCTGCCCTGGGGAGCCCCATCACTGAATTGGCTGGATTGAATTTCAGGGGCGAGAGGGAGACACCACTTCTCTCAATCTTTTCTCCTCCCCTAGAACTCCAGCAGGTTAGGCAATTGGCCAGAAGAGCTGAGCCACAGAAACTGCAGGGGAGGGTTTAAAAATATGAGATCCCCATGACTGCACATAGAATTTATGCCAAAAAAAAAAAAAAAAATTAAAAAAAAAATCTTATGCAACACAAAGCTTGAAAAAAAATCAAGCAAATTTAAGAAAATTTCATTCAGGAGATTCTCAAAATTATTTAAAAGAGGACAATTAAGATTTCTTATAAGCTTTCAGCCTCCTGACTTTGAAGAGCTGTAAAGTGCTAGTACTGCTAATGAGGACTACAGTGTGCTTTTGTACAGTGGTTTCCATTAAGTAAGCATTCATAAAGAAGTTTTTTCATGAATAAGTTCTACATGTTACTGCAGACCTTTCAAAAACATTCTTTCTGTGGGGTGTAAAGGGTGATATCCAAGTGACATGGATGATTATTTTTCATGAGAGAGCATTTTCCTTATCTTCTGCAAAACAAACTAGTGTCAACACTGATGAAAATACAAAATTTAAACTCTAACAACTGAGAACAGTAAAGAGGGAAGGTAGATTCACAGGTCACTGGGGAAAAAATTTGGATGTTTTTAAGTCGTTAAGCAATTAACAAAGAAACCAAAACTCAACTATTACTTCAGTTGCTTAATAAATTGAAATGTTTTACTGCGGCATTAAAAAGCCCCCCAAATTAGGAAGAACTCTTTGGAGTGATCCACTGTAACACATTCAAGATTCTATTTCACCTTTGAGACCAGGCCTACCTTAAATGTAGAAGCTGAACAGACCGAGATAAAAGGCATGCTGTTAGACTGGTACCTTAACAGAAGGGGGGAGAGGTGAAGGCAAACATTTTGAGATACCTTCAATGGCAATACGTTTTTTAGGCCAATCCTTTAATTCACGAGTTACAGATTCTTTGACACGTATATTTATCACTAGATCAGCCAGGCTGAATTCTAAAGCATAGAAGCGAAGCAATTCCACCCAGAGCTGCCCAACTGGTACTGATGGCTGGTGTCTGAAATCAAGAGTCAATGGCGCCTATAAATAACAAGGAGAAAACAAAGACATTAGCTCAATCTGAAAAGCCAGACATTAGTCAAGCATCAAATGAAAAATTTTAGCAAAGACAAGACGAAATTCTAGGTTTCTTTTACTCACTGATAAAATCATACATCATCAATGCACACTTGAGATTATAATATGCTAAAATGGAATCCTTATCATAATTGATAGGATCAATTTTATTTAACTAAGAGCTCTTTTAACAGCTTTCAAACATTAGTAACAGTGGAGAAAGGACCGTAGGTGGGTTAATACTTAGCACTGAACTTATCTTGTGGGTGCTGCTAGAGGGCATCTTTAAACAGACTACAGCTGAGGATGCTGGGAGTAGGGGAAAACATTCCTCTCATTTTTCCAGATTTGCATTGATCTGTTAGTGGCTAATTCATTTTACAGTTGGATAACTGCTGAGATTAGAAACTGATAGATTAGTAGGATTGATCAATGAAATACAGAATAGTCTCATATGACCATTATACCCACAAAATTTAAGTTGGAAAATACACGGTGATTTGATACATTATGAAGTTGAAATCAATTAGGAGAGAAAAAAATGAACAAAAGATAATTCCAAATACTGATCTGCCACTTTACAGTACTTCTTCATTCTCAGGTTGGCAATACAGAAATTGAAATAGCTGAGAACTGGACAGGCTTACGAAAGATGTCCAACTAGATGAGTATGATCCTGGTGAAGGTGTATAACCTAAAATTTGGTTTCCTCATCTTAAAAATGGGGTAACAGTATCCACTTCATATGGCTGTTGGGATGACTGACTGAGATAATGTCTGAAAAGTGCTTAGCACAGTGCCTGGCACACAGCGTTAAAACAACGGTCTCTATCGTTAACTGAAGAATAAAGATGAAACCACCTACAAAATAGGATAGTTTTGAGAATTAGATCAGAAACAAGGAAAGTATCTGGCAGACTTTGTTGCTGACTATATTTTCTCACTTAGGTCTATACTTTTTCACATAAAAGAAATCCTTATAAAACTAAAATATGATGAAATAACTATAAAATGCTCTTAGGAGGTAATCTGCTTCAACTCCCTATTTACAAGGAGAGAGAACTGAAGCTCATCAGATTCAAGATGACTAGTCAGAATGTCAGTGGCAAAAAGTGAACATGTATTGATTCCAGGACAGTACTCTTCTATCATACCATGAACCTCAAGGTCTATATTGCTCTTCATTTCATAAATGAAAGCATGATTAATCTCTCCAAATAGCATAAAACATGGAAATATTTAACTGGATTTACAATAATAGCTTTCTTTACATTAGTCCTATAATTCACATTTAAAAAATATTTTCCCTCTAAGATAACAAATTTAGATTTCACCTTATCATTATGTTGTTGTTGTTATGTGCCGTCGAGTTGCCTGTGACTCATAGTGATCCTATGTACAACAGCCCTAAACCCTGCTGTGTTGTGCCAATCGCATTGTCTCCGACACATCCACCCTGATTACCCCAGTCACTGAATCAATCCACCTCAAATAGGGCCTTCCTCTCCTGTGCTGTACCTCCACCCTCCCATGCACGATGTCTCTGTCCAAGGACCGGTCCCTCCTTACAACATGTCCAAATTATGTCAGACAAAGCCTCAGAATTCTTGCCTCCCACTCTCCAGGATCAAGCTATTTGTTTTCTTAGCAGTCCATGGTACACTCAATACTCTTCTCCAGCAACACAGCTCAAAGGCATCAATTCTCCTTCTATTCTCCCTAGTCATTGTCTTACTCTCTGGTGCATAACAAGTGATTGCAAAGACCATGGCTTGTATCAGACACACCTTAGACTCCAGAGTGACACCACTCCTCTTCCATACTTTGGAGAGGTCCCTAAAATTTCCTGGCTGCTGGTTCCAAGAGTGTTGACCATGGAGCCAAAGAAACTAAAGCTGTGAACAATCTCAATTTCTTCACCATCCATCCTGATGCTGCCAATTGGTCCAGTGGTGAGAATCTTTGTCCTCTTAATATTGAGCCTCAACCCATATTGAAGGCTGCAGTCCTTGACCCTCTGCAGCAAGCGCTCAAGGTCCTCCTCAGTTTTAGCAAGCAGGGTGTGTTACCTGCGTAACACAGGTTAATGATATATCTTCCACCAATCCTGACGCCACACTTCTCCTCATAGAGCCCAGCCTCCTGGATATTCTGTTCTGCATACTGGTCGAAAGGTATGGAGATAGGACACATCCCTGGCATACACCCTTCCCAATTTTGAACCATGCAGTGTTTCCTTGCTCTGTTCTGACGACTGCCTCTTGGTCCAAGTATAGGTTTCGCATTAGAACGATCAAGTGTTCTGGGATTCCCATTCTTCTCAGAGTCAGCCATAGTTTGTTATGATCCACACAGTCAAATGCCTTTGCATAATCAATAAAACACAGATAGACATTGCTCTGGTATTCCCTGCTTTTAGCTAAGATCCATCTAACATTAGCTACAATATCCCTAGTACCACAACCCCTTCTAAACCCAGTCTGGACTTCTGGCACTTCTCTGCTGATGTGCTGTTCTAGTAGTTTTTGGATACTCTTCAGTGGAATCTTGCTTGCGTGTGAAATCAATGATATTTTTCTATAGTTTCCACACTCTGTTGGGTCACCCTTCTTTGGGATGGGAACAAATGGAGATCTCTTCCAATCAGTTGGCCAAGTGGTTGTCCTCCAGATTTCTTGGCACAACTTGGTGAGCACATCAAGGGCAGCATCTGTTAGGTGAAATATGTCAAGTGATATACCATCTATTCCTGGGGCCTTATTTTTTGCTACTACTTTCAAAGTAGCTTGAACTTCTGCCTCCATCACCATAGGCTCTGGCTCAAATGCTACTTCATGAAATTCTTCTGTATCTGCCAATTCCTTTCGATACAGGGACTCAGTATATTCTTTCCATCTTCTTTTAATACCTCCTGGCTCATTTAATAGTCTGCCGAAAGCATCATTGATTATAGCAACTTGAGGTTTCAATTTGTTCTTCAGTTCCTTGACCTTAAGAAATGCTGAGCGAGTTCTGCCCTTTTGATTTTCTGACTCCAGCTCCTAGCACATTTCATTTTAATATTTTACTTTGTCATCCCGTGCTGCCTTTTGAAATCTTCTGTTCAGCTCTTTAGTATCTTCAATTCTTCCTTATGCTTTGGCTTCTCAGTGCTTCTTCTGACATCCATTTTGGTCTTTTCTTCTTTCTCTGTCTTTGTAATGACTGTTTGCACTCTTCCTGGATGATACCCTTGATATCCACCCACAACGTTTTATAAGAAACATAAACGCAGGTTATACACATGGATCTCACCTGATGGTATGCATAGGAATCAAAATGATTACATCTGCAGAAAGAACCGCTGAAGAAGCTCAATATCAGCTGAGAAAACTAGGCCAGGAGCTTATTGTGGAATAGATCACCAACTACTCACATGTAAGTTCAAGCTGAAGCTGAGGAAAATTAAACCGAATCCACAGGAACCAAAATATGACTTTAAGTTTATCTCACCTGAATTTCAGAACCATCTAAGGAACAGATTTGAGGCCTTGAACATTAATGAGCGAAGACCTTATCATTATAGCATTTATTATAATATCACTAAACATCAACAATCAAGATTCCGTCAAACAAAACACAGTCATCTGATGGATTTACAAAGCTGAATTTCTGAAAATGGAAGCTGTTCAGGCCTCACACAGCATTTCCAGAAGCTTTTTTTTCCAGAAAGTTTTAATATTTGTTTCATCTCTCCAGTTACAAACCTCTTTTAGAATTAAGAAATTTTAACTGTCCCATTAAAAAGACTTGATAATGATAAAATGGCACTATAGAGATCCTGAAAATATCTAGGTCACTAGCACTTAGTGTTGGTGGCTTAGTGGTAAGAGGCTGCATTGCCAACCCAAAGGCATGCATTTTGAATGTGCCAGATGCTCAACAAGAGAAGGATGGGCAGCTTCTTCCCCTTCAATTCACAGCTTCCATAAACCCACTAGAGGGTCAGCTATGAGCCATTTCTACCTAAAAAGTACTTTCAACCACCACCATCACCACCACCACCACCACAACAACAACTGGTACTTAAATTGTTTTTGGGTTTTTTTAAAAGTAGAGACTACTTCTCCTTCAAATAAAATAAGAATAATAACAAGTTTTACTAAGTTCTTGAAATATGCTTGGGACTAAACTAGGTAGTCATTAAATCAACAACTCTATGAAAGGGTATCAATGTTTACAGGTGAGAAACCTGGAACACAGAAAGGTGAAGTAAGTGGTCCATTGACAATTGAGACAACGGGAGGGCTAGAACACAAATGTCTGTATTCTAACTCCATTTATCCACTTCTGTACCACTGAGTTAGAATCAATCCAAAGGTGACCCTCCAGTAGGGTTTTGAGAGGTAGTTAATTGCCCAGGAAGAGAGTGCCCATACTGCTTCCATGGAGCTGGTGGATCTGAACCATGTGCCTTTGAGACTGAAGTGAAGTTTCTTATGACTAGGCCACTATTCCATGGTCTATCCACTCCCAAAATAGAAATCAGATAAAAGTCATACTCTTCTGAGGGCTAGGGTGCTGGTTGTACCACTTCCCCAATCTGTACTATATTCACAGATTCTATAAAACACATGTACAAAATCTATAATCTTTACTAGAGTCTCTTCATTTTGGATGTCAGTCAACAGTGGATGGGAGGAGTGGCATGACTTTATTGTGAATATGAATTCTAGTCTCCAAAATATTTGTGGGTATTACTGTCAAGTCATTTTACTTGGATATACAATCAACTCTCATGGCAGCAGCAGTGAAGAAATAAGCTGTACTTGGAAAATGTGCTCGCAATAATCACTCCAAAGTATTAAAGAACAATGATGTCAGTTTAAAGACTAATGCAAGTCTGATGCAAGCCATAGTTTCAACTGCTTCCTATGCATCTGAAAGTTAGACAACAAATGAGGATAAGAGAAAAAATGATGCCACTGAATTGTGGTCTTGGAGACAAGTGTTGAAAATCCCAAAGACTGGCAAAAAGCCCTCTATGAGGTGGATTGATTCAGTGACTGGGATAATCGGGATGGGAGTGTCAGAGACAGTGCGATTGGCACAGGACAGAGCAGAGTTTAGGGCTGTTGTACATAGGGTCACTATGAGTCACAAGTGACTCGACGGCACATAACAACAACAAACAACATGTTGGAAAAAGTGAAGCCCCTTAGAGGCAAGGATGGTGAAACTTTGGCATGGTGTCAGTACCTAGAAAAGTGGAGGGTCAGAGATGACCCTCAACAAGATGCACAGGGACTGAAACAACAGGCTGGAGCATGTTGGAACTTTGAAGGATGACAAAGGATAAGGAAGATACTCAACTTGACAGTACTTAACAGCAACATTATCAAAAAGTCATGGATGAGAGACCCCTCACAAATGTAAGGTAGAATCCCATCCTTTTTACAGTGTAATGACATTGCTCAGATTTTTATTTAAAATTCTATTAACATTTTATTTATACATCATAAAGCCAATCTAAGTAGAACTTTTTTGAGGAAAGAGTTTCTTTGAATTCTTGTACACAGATGATTCTAAAGAACTGTCTATGGATGTAATGACTTGAAATTTACCTTTTCTTACTAACTGTCTAGATAGAAAATGAACCTTGCAAGAGATAAGAGAGTAAGAGAGTTATCAACACCACAATTAACATATGAGAAAAAGTGAGCACACCTGTCCTTTCTTCACTGGTGACTCTCTCAGCTCTCGGGCCACCTCCTCTGCCACTGGGTCTGCATTTTCTGTGGCAGCATCAGTATATTCCCACACCACACTGTCTTTCTTGACTTCTTTAAGGTTGAAGTTCCCTAGCTTGTTTAATGAAAATCCTTCAATCTAGGGGGGAAAAAATCAGACAAATACAATCATAAGGCAGAGATAGTATCATCAGAATTTACTTATCTTAGAAAGAACCACTGAAACTACACTCTCCGTTTATAAAAAAACAAAACAACACCAAAAAACCATACAAGACAGAATTTACAGCTCTGAGATATCCTCTATAAATGGGAAAAAAAAAATGGTGTTAAAAAACAAGGTTGTGCTTTGCATAAGTTGCCACTACATAAAATAATTCTTTAATACAAAATTCCTAGAAGACAGTATGGCTGTGGTTAAGACAGCTGGTTCTGGAATAAAACTGTTTTGGCGAAAATCTGACTCCCTCAAGTATCAGGCGGGTGACTTCTGAAATTATCTTTTGGGCACAGATTCTTATACAAAAGGTTAAATTGAAATCTTCTTTATAGGAGGCTGGTGATGATAGAAAATAGTGGGCAGAAAGGACTCAGGGCCAAAATCTTGCACAAAGCAAATTCTCAGTAAGCAATGACAGTACTATAGTGAAACTAATGATAATATTAAGAGATTGCAAGTATAAAACTTACAACTTCTGACATGATAAATCCATAATTTTAAATAGTTAATTCTGGTTAAAAGAAATTTTAAAACCATATTCTATACGTTAATGCAAAAGAAAACAGTCTGGGGCTAAAAGGTTAAGGAAATGTTACAGCAAAGTTTTTATACTGTCTTCAGATAGATTCATGCATATGAGTCTATAAAAAGTGTATATATAAGATTATGTCAACACAGATATTAAAAATGAAGTTTCTAAGAAACTGAACATAAAATTTTTAACTAATAGCTTAATTTCAACCAGAAAGAAGGTCTCATAGTTGAAGTCAAATTCATCTAAAAGATAATAAAATTAGTTTCTCTTGAGTTGATTCTCACTCACTGCTACCCTGTGGACAGAACAGAATGGCTGTTAGGTTTCCAAGGCTGTACTCTTTAAGAAAGCAGGCTGCCCCGTCTATTTCCTGAGATGTGGTGTGTAGGTCTGACCCATCAACATTTTGGTGAACATTCCAGTGCTTAACCACTATCCTACCACAGGCCCTTTTAAAGATAACACCAAATATCAAGGGTTGATGATTAAGTTCTGTATCTGTTGTGCAGATGGCAATCTCAACAGTTTTATTGCCTTTTCTTTGGGTATAAAGAATGAAGAGAAAGAAAACAATAGAAATTGTAAGTTACAGTGAATCAGAATCAAATGCTTTCTACAATTTGGAGATCATCTATAAATACAAAGATCAAATTAAAAAACTATATCCAGGCGAGCTCTGATGGCCTAGTGGCAAGAAGCTGTACTGCAATCTCAGAGGTGCGTGGTTCAAATCCACCAGGTGATTTGCTGGAGAAAAATCTCCTCCTGTACCAGTCAGTTCCAATTTCACACACACAAAAATAATAAAATTAAACACACACACACACACACACACACACACACACACGCCCTATATCCAAAGAAAAGTGTGCACAGAATCTACACAGGTACAAACTCTCAGGACCATATGTGTTTAAAAATCAGAATTTCCAGGTTATTTTTTTTTGTTCTTATTTTGCCTTGCTGTGGAGTCAGATCTGACTTGACAGCTGATCCTCCAGTGGGTTTTTAATGACTGCAAATCATACAGGAGATTGTCTTTCTCTTAAGAAGCAGCTGGATTGGATTTGAACCATATTCCTTTGTGTTGGCAGTATAACACCTTATCCACTATACCACTAAAGCTGTCAGAGGTAACAATATCCCTAGCAGAATATTGACTAGCATTTTGGAATCATATGTATTAATATTTTAGCAGTGAAATGTATAAATATTCACATTAGTAGTGTAGGTTAGATTTTGGAGTTATTCACAAGGAATTAAGGACCTGTAATATAATTTAAGTTACAAAATTATTAAAAAAAAATCATACCCATGATCCTAGGTAAACAGGTAGAAGGGGCTCTTTCCTCTGCTGAAGAAAGAAAATGGCCATCAGGGCAAACACGTAAGGGGGCAAGCCACCTTCTTCAGGGCGATCTATACTGCAAAGCTACAAATGAGAGGAAACAAAAAAAGCATTCTTTTCTGTAAATCAATTTCTCATTCATACAATCAATTTGCTCTAAAATCCTGTAACTTCAATCCATGTAGTACCTGGTTTAGAGTGACTCCTCAAAATAAAATAGTCCAATAACAACATCAAAAACTTCCTTTTTTTGTGGCAAATACAGGCCATGTTTTAGTATTGACATTTTCACTTGCATTTAATCCTGTTGTATGTGTAATTAAACTCCCTCATACTATCAAATAGGTTCCAACTCTCAGGAGACCATCCATTAGGTTTCTAAAGCTAAAATTCTTAAGACTGCCCATTTTTCTCCTTTCGAGCAAAAGGTGGATTTGAACAACCAGAGTTCTACTTTTGGGCTGACAGCAGTGTTTACTATGGACTACACAACCAGACTCCCTAAAACTAACTCATGCTGCTGCTGCTGTTGTATGGTGCCATCAAGCTGACTACAACTCATAGCAACCCTAGAAACATGGATCTGAACCCTACCCTATCCTGTGCCACCCAAATCATCTCTGATATACTCAAACCCATTATTAAAGATCTATCAATCCACCTTGTTGAGGATTTTCTTCTTTCACTGAATTTTTTCAAGTGTGATGTCTTTTTCCAATGACTGGCTTCTCTTTACAACATGCCAGAAGTATGTGAGACAAAGTTGTAATTTCTCCAAAGACATCTGTTAGTTCTTTTGGCAGTCTGTGGGCACTACAACTCAAAAGCACTCTTCTGTTCTCCTTATTTACTTTTAAACATACAGGAAGGAAATAAATCATGGCTTGAATTAAGGAGCACCTTCGTTTTTAAATGGACATCACTGCTCTTTAACACGTTGGAGAGGTCCCTGACAGCAGATTTTCCTAATATAACAAATCTTTGAACTTCTTCACTGCTGGTACCAAAGGTGTTGATGGTAGGTCCAAGAAAGATGAAGTCATTGATAATTTTAATCTTTTCTCCATCTATTAAAATGTTGTCTATTGGCCCAGTAGTGAGGATTTTTGTTTCCTTGATATTGAGAGGTAACCCATATTGAGAGCTATAATTTTTCATCTTCTGTAGCAAGTATTTCAAGTGCTCTTCATTTTCAGCAAGGTGTGTCACCTGTATAATGCAGGTTGTTTTAATGAGTCGTTCTCTGAATTCTTATGCTATATTCTCCCAGATTCTCAAATGATTTGCTCAGCAGACTCAACAGAGAATGGATACAGCCCTGATGTGCACCTTTCCTGATTTTAAACCAGACAGTGTTCACTTGCTGTTCTATGACAGTTTCTAGTCTAAGTATGTTGTTATGTGCCATTGAGTTGCCTGAGCTACCCTATGTACATTAGGTTTGAACCTGCCCTATCTCAAGCCAATCTCATCGTCTTCAACAGATCTAATCCCATTTCTCCAGTCACAGTCAATCCATCTCATGCTGGGTCTTCCTTTCCTGTGCTGTCCCTTGACCCTCCAAGCATGTCCTTCTCCAAGGACTGGTCCCTCCTGGCCATGTGTGCAAAGTGAGACAGAGCTTCAATATCCTGCCTCCAGGGAGCAGCTTGGTTTCACCTTCTCCAGGACAGACCTTTGTTTGTTTGTCCTGGCAGTCCACCGTATGCATGTTCAATACTCTTTTCCAGCACCACAACTCAAAGGCAGTGATCCTTCTTCTACCATCCTTAGTTCTTGCCCAGATGTTGGATACATAGCAAGTGACTGTGAAGACAATGGCCTATATCAGGCACACCTTAGTCTCTGGACTGAAAATGTATTCAGTACTACAGAGAGGTTTCTTGACAGTGGATTTTCTGAATGCAATTCGTCTTTTGATTTCCAGACTGCTGGTGCCAAGAGGGTTGATTGTGGAACCAAGCAAGCTGAAGTTATTAACAATCTCAATCTCTTGTCTATCTATCATGAATCTGCCAACTGGCCTAGTGGTAAGAATCTGTTTTCTTGATATTGAGCTTCAATCCATACTGAAGACTACAGCAAATGCCTCACATCCTCCTCAGTTTCAGCAAGCACAGTTGTGACATCTGCATAACACAGGTTGTTGATAAGTCTTCCTCCAATTCTGATATCACATTCTTCCTCATCTCATGAAGTCAGCCTTCCAAATGATCTGTTCTACATATAGATTGAAAAGGTATGGAGATAGGATGCGTCCCTGATGTACACCTATACTGATCCTGAACCATGCAGTGTTTCCTTGCTGTTCTGACTACTGTTTGCTCGTCTAAGCACAGGTTTCAGATAAGCAAAATTAAGTGTTCTGAGATTCGCATTTTTCTCAGTGTTACCGCCAAAGCCACAATTTGTAATGATCCAGTTAAGCACCTTTGCATAATCAATAAAACAAACAGAAATATTTCTGGTATTATTTGCTTTCTGTCAATATCCAGTTGACATCAGCAATGATATCCCTGGTGCCATGGCCTCTTTTAATTTCAGCATGAATTTCTGGTAGTTCTGGCAATGCATGTTACAGCAGTTTTTGGATAATCTTCAGCAAGATTTTACTTGCATGTGTATTAGTGATACTGTTCAGTAATTTCCACTTTGTGTTCAATTACCATTTTTGGGAATTGGAACTTTCAGACAGGTAGTTGTCTTCCAAATTACCTGAAACAGACTAGTCAGCATATCTAAAGCTGCCTCTGTTTGCTTAAAGATTATCAAATGGTATCCCATCAATTTTGGGGGTCTTATTTTTTGCCAGTGCCTTTAGTGTATGTAGTTTTAATTTCTTCCTTCATTACCATTCATTCTTGGTCATACATGACTTCCTGAAATAGTTCCATACCAGCCAATCCAGATCATTCAAAATTTTGCACGTAGTATCCTTCAGTAGTAAACCTGAGGCTTGACTTTGTTTTTGTTTTAGCAGCTTGAGAAACACTGAGCATGTTCTTCCCTTTTTATTTTCTGAGTCTATATTCATTATAATACTGTTTTCTCTTCTTGAGCTACCTTTTGATATTTGCTGCTGCTCTCTGTTTACTACAGTCTTTCTTCCATTTGTTTTGGTTTCTCAAAGTTCTAAGGAAATTTTTAGTCTCTTCTCACGTTCATTTCAGTCTTTTCTTTCTTTCTTGTCTAATGATCTTTTTCTTTGTTCTTGGATGATGTTCTTGATGTCATCCCACAATTCATCTGGTCTTCCATCATGAGTGTACAATGCCTTAAATCTATTATTGAGATAGTTTTTAAACGTAGATGGGACATACTCAAGGTTGTATTTTCATTCCTATAAATGCATTTTCATTTTCTTCAGCTTCAATTTTAACTTGCACATGATTAATTGGTTTTCTGTGCTGCAGTCAGTCTTTGGCCTTGTTTTGACTGTTGATACTAAACTTCTTTCATGATTTTTTTCCCACAGATACAGTCAATATGACACCTGTATAATTAATTCATCAGGTAAGGTTCATGTGTATACCCACCACCATTTGTGTTTTTTAGAAAAGGTATTTGCAACAAATAATCACCGATAATACGAAGTTCAATGATTTGCTCTCTACTCCCATTTCTGACACTAAGTCTTTAATTTCTAACTTCCTAGTTAGTCCTTCTTCTTTTCCAAATTTTGTATCCCAGTTACCAATTATTATAAATTCATCTTGCATGCATGTTTGGTCACTATCAGAGGGAAGAAGTTGGTACAAATTTTCAATTTCCTCCTCTTTAACTTTAGCTGTTAGGACTTAAGAGTTGAATAAAAGTTGTATTACTAGATCTCTCTTGAATGCATATGGACAGCATCTTGTCACAGCACTGTACTTTTTAACAGATCTTGAATGGTCATGGGGGGCACAAAAAAATATTTGCTATTTTATTTTTTGACAGCCACTGTAATTCCAAGTCAAAATGATGGTTCATTCACGGTGAGAGCTGACTGACTGTCTGGATTAAAGGTCTTCTAACCACTACTTTTCAGATGCATGCTCTAAACACAGGATTTTTAATAAGCAATACAGATCATTTATAGGGAGCACTGGTGGTCTAGTGGCAAGAAGCAGTGCTGCAATACAAAAGGCACACAGTTTGAATCCACCAGCTGCTCTGCAGAAAAAAGGTGGGCAATCTCCTCCTGTGCGATTACTGCCTTTGAAAACAGTCTGGATGGTCAGCTATGGGTTGGTTCCAACTCAATGGCCCACCACAATAACAACAACAAAACATTTATGGAATATTATACAGTGAAATGAAGACTTTCTTTTTTAAAAACTTAAGATGTCAGCTCTATTAGTCAGATACCAGATTCCCAATATCTATAAAATGCCAATAAACAGTTAAAGTAACTGAGAGAAAGTGAAAACATAGCACTTTTGAATATATACAAAGTATTTATACATATGAAGCAATCAAACCTACCTTTGCCCAGTACCTAAATGCAATCACCAAAGGAACTAATTTTGGTTCTAATTTGCCAAGAGCAGTTAAATGATTTGTTGTCAGACAGGCATTTTCATTTCCTGCGCTTACTTTACAAAGAAGACCACTGTTGAATGAAGAAAGAAGCAAGATGGGAAGGAAAAAGAGAAAGAAAAAAATTGTTACTAAGATATATTTTACTTTAACAACTGGTTCTTACACTGATAAATAAAATCTACTATATTTTCCCATTTAATTTTTATGGATCACTTAAGAATTGGATTTTTTAAAAAAGGATATGTGAAAGCTATTTTCTGAATAAATCTAATTTTTCATAATTAAATTTACATATTAGAGCACTTTATGAAAGCCAATGCAAATGAGGAACATATTATAAAATGTTACAAAGTGAATGCATGACTCATTCATGTAACAATAAAAGAGTATTTCCAAGAGAGGAATGTGCCTAATGAAGGATCATTGAAGCAACCATCTAGTGAGTCCAGCTGGAGGGAGAAGTAAACCGATGAAGCAACTGTCGCTCAGTACTGCTGTTAAGCAGACGGCAAGTAAGTAACACGCAAGTGACCATTTGATAAAGTTACTTATTACCTGACTGAAATGGGTTACAACACTTTTTTCTGACTTTCCCCCCTTTTGAAGCACTTATACTCTTTTAAAAAGAAAACATCGTTTTCCCTCTCCCATCAAATGCCAAAAATCTAGGGAGAAGTGCTAGTAATAAGCATATGAAATAATCATGAGAGGAGTTTATAATTCTAGAAAACAAATATTAAGCTCTACTAAGGTATATATGCTTTACTAAGCTGGTATTTAATACATAAATGACTAAAAGAACTGAGACCTTTGCTTTTCTTTGCACACCACCACTGGCACTCTAGCATGGAAATCTGCATCAACATCAATAAAAGAATCTGAGGAAAGAGGAAAAAATTAAGGCACTTAACCAAATCTTGGTTATCAAACAGACAAGATAAAGTACACGTATGTCATGATATCTGACCTTTTGATTAACTGCTTTAAATAAAGCCCTGAAATAATTAAAAATTTTTAAAAAAGCAGCCATATTCAAGAATCAAGCTATTAAATCAAGCTAAACTTCTGTAAATCTACAATTGGATTAGAAACCACTTTATAATAATATAATAATATCTAATTGGTATATAGGTAATAGAATTAGAAATCTAAACAGACTCACAGCTGACCTAGAGCATGTTGCCACAAGAAGCTATTCCTTGGAAACAGATAGAGGAAGACTCTCAATGAGATGGTATGATATGGTGACTGCAGCAATGGAGTGTTAGAGATGGTGAGGATGGTACATGATAAGACATGGTTCTGATCTGTTTTCAGATGGTTGCTATGAGTCATACCTGACTCAATGGCACCAAAAACCAGCAAAATAGCTGATACTTCAGCAGGTTTTTGGAAGTTATGAATCACAAGAGAAAAGACTATCCATCTTTCTCCCTCAGAATTGCTGGTACTTTCAAACCACCAGAGACAAACCATCTTTGAGTCAAGAGCACAACTCCCTAGACATCAGGCATCACAGCGACCCTTGAAAATGAACAGGATGTTTAAAAACAAAATTGGAGCAAATGCTATTGAAATGTTCAGTGTCAAATAACAAGCTAAATATAAATGTTTTAGTCTACCAAAGTAAGAAGGATGCCAAAAACAAATTTAAGGGGTAAGACTATTTGATGAGGTCTATGTGTACTGTGAGGCATCCTGATGGTATAGTACTTAAGTGCTAACTGTAAAGTCAGCAATTTGAACCCATCAGCCACTGTGTGGGACAAAGACAGAGCAGTCTGACTCTGTAAAGATTTAGATCATTGGAAACGGTATGTCTGGCAGGTTAACTATGTGCCAGAACGGCTTGATGGCAGGTTTTAGATCATAAAATCATAAAAAGCAAGAAACTGCCAAGCTGGACATTATGCTAGGCAAAGAATTAATTTAACTGGGAACAATTATTTGTGTAGCTCTTAATCAGGATGGTCCATGTCTATATATCTTTTTTTTTTATTTTTTAAAGATTGATTTTCTTGTTGTGTACCATCGAATCATATCTGACTGGCACAAGTTGCCCCTCCTTCTCCAGCAGAGCATCTGGTGGATTTGAACCACGTGCCTTTGGTATTACAGTGCAGCTTCTTGCCACTAGGCCACCAGAGCTCCCTTCCTATGTACCTTTTATAAAATATTAATATGAGTAACAGATAATCTATTTTATGCACTTTGAACTTTTATTTTATATTATTTTTACTACATTTTTAACCTTAAGAGTAAATTTATTTATTTTACATTTCTTAGTCCTAGTCTAGGACTCATTCAGTATTTTTAAATAATAACATTCTCATGTTTTACTGAAGAAATGGTCATCTGGCATAGTAGATCAACAACAGTATTGGCAGTCACAGGATTCTAACAGGAGCTCTGGTGTCTTAGTCCACAGGGAGCTGTGCTTCTAACCCAAAGACTATGCCTCTCTGGCATTTCTAATCCACCAACAGCTTCTCAGGAGAAATATAAAGAATTTCCTCCTGTGTGGTTTACAGTCTTTAGAGACTGGCAAGTCAACTGAGTTGATTGAGTTTGAATTTACTAATAATTCTTGGGCATTTGTTTTGGATATTAAGTAAAGAATAATAAATAATTATTTATAATAATTACTATTTTCAAAGTTTAAGAAAGAAAATACATCCACGTTATAGTTGTTTGTTGTTGTGTGTCACTGAATCAGAACCAACTCATAGAAGAACCTCAAGTGTGTTTTCAGAGGGAGCTAGTTGCATGGGAAATGAAAGGCCATCTTTTTCTTGCAGAGCAACTGGTGGATTCTAATAGTATGCCTTTAGGTTGACGGCCTAATTCCTTACCACTAGGCCACCAGAGCTTCCTTCAAGTCACAGACAGAGTAAGAGTGATTATTTAAAAAACTATGACCTTACCACTATTCTTTAAACATTCTTGAACAAGTAAGAGGACATCTGGTTGAGACATCTAAAAAATAAATCAATGAATACATCAAATAAGCTTTTAAGTACTTCAGTTTCCGTCATGGTCATTTCAAATTCCCCAAAGTGTCTTTCAGAATAGCACATTGCTACTAGAATAAAGAAGTTAATTAGTATGCTATGTGTACATATCACTCAAAGACAGATAGATGGGATCTCAACAGCAATGGAAGTGGGCAGAAGAAATATTTTACATGGCTAACTCCTGATAGATTCCAAGATATCAATATGGTACTAAATCTCAAACCTGTAGCTGTAAGTTGTCAAGCTGCTAACATTACTACCTTTAGCTGAAACTCCTTTAACATTTTTTTTAACTCATCTCCTGCTTTAAGCTTGCCTTTGATCAGTTGCTGTGCCATGTAAGAACCACAATAATTTAAAATCATGGTCGTACTCTCTTTAAAATCGTCTGATGGCTTATCAAAGTACCTAGGTCCAAATCCAAATTGTTTTCTCCAGTTTAGTCTCATTTTACTTATTCTCTTCACCATAATTACATCATCTTCCTGTCAGTTCCTTGAAGAGTCAAACTCTTTGTTGATTTACAGTGCTTCTGACTCTAAAACATATTCCCACCTTTCACCTTCTCCTTTTCCCTGTTTGCCCAACCCCAAGATAAGTCCTTTCCTTTTCTACAACTCAGATGATACACATCATCTTCAGAAAGGGTCCAGGAGTCTGTATTTTTAGCATGAAATCTAAGGGACTAATGATAAACCATCTGAAAATTAGCTTGTGGAAACCACCCATGGGTAAATGGAGGTGATCTACTAGAGTGCCTTCCAGTTTTACAGTTCTGATTCATCAACATCTTTCCGAATCATGTTTAAACTAGAAATCTAAACTAGGTGTGGTTCTTTGAAAACCAATATTTTTAACAATGTAGCGATATAAAAGAAGAAACTAAGGAGTAAAGTGAACTTTCTGGTCATTTTAATTTATACATTGTTTAAAATCTAAAATCCTTCTTTGCCATGAGAAAGTTGATTTTACTTAAGGGAAAATACTTTTCAAGTTAATAGAATCCAATACCCTATTAGACTTAAATGGTTAGAAAACTAGTGCTTGATATATAAAAGGAGCTCAGTATCTGTATTATTAAAAGTATTCTAAACCAGAAGACAGGCACAGATGGAAGTTTTGACAAAGAATGTTGCTATCATTCTACTGAAATTACTTTCCAAACTTACATTTAAAAGAATTAATTTTGCATATCAGTCTGTGAAAGTTCAGAAATTCCATTTTTTACTTACAGTGATTGGAAACTGGATGTCAATGTTTACATCTGAATTTCTGAAACCAAACAGGCTACAGGATGACCCATATAATCTTAGAGAACAATCTTTAAAAAGCAAAAAAAAAAAAAAAGAAAAGCAACCCATAAATGGCCAAAAGTTAATCATTAAGAAAAAGTTTCTCAAAAGTAATAAACCAGTTTTATAATAAATTGTATCATGAATTAAAGTGACCTAAAAAAGTGAAACTTTTCAGTCTGGCACAAAGAAAGAACAGGAAAGAGCAATTCTTTCTATTATCTTCATCTTATTTTACATAAGAGAGAAGATTGCTGATTACAGGTTAGTTTAGTAAATGTCCCTTTCATGTCAGTTTCAAGAGGTTAAAACTTTACTGAGTAAAAATCATGTCAATTAATTCACTGAAGAATAAAAACACCAACACAATTTAAAATGCTACACACACACATACCTGCCACAACCACCCACCCCAAATGCTACACATACCAGGTTCTTCACTCTTCACATGAAGACACATATAAATGATCACTGTTTATGTAATATAAATTTTTCTTTATTTGTACTTTGAGATTATTTTTAGTATTTTGTTGCTACTATGTAAAAAAAAGGATCTTTTAATTCAGGGATATTTTTCTTATTAAAAAATAAGTTTGCTGGTTTAAAAAATTTCATTGAATTTTAACTGGATTCCAGGACAAAGAATAGTGACTTTTATAATGAAAAAAAAAGAACAAAAACAACCCAGCAAACATCATTGTTGATTAAGAAATAGATCATACTCGCTACCATTATGGGAAAAAAATATATGCATTGTAATAATATGCAAATGATCTTTCAAAAGAATAAAGAGTTCTATCTATGATTTGGTGGTGTGATTAAATATTTAATACAATTCAAGCTATGGATGAGAATCACTTGTGTGGCATTCTAAAAATAACAATCCATAGTTCTATAAGTAATTATGATACACAGCTAGGATTCTAAATGATCAAGCTAGCTGCTATTCCAACCAATCATTTGCACAGCAGAAAGTGCCATTAAATTTGTAAAGTTTTTTTATCAGATAATGGCAGCATATTCTGACCTACTGCAAAAAAGACAAACGTAGGCAGAAGAGAGACAGTAAAAAATTCTAGGATTAACCTGTAAAATAAATCCAACAGTAATATAAATTTTTTATAAATTAGTTTTCAAAATTTACCTTAGGTATAATTCTTTTGTTTGTTGAAAACAGAATTTTTTTCTGAATGTCCAGACACACACATACACACACACTCACATACACTCACTCTCTCTCACATGAGTTCCAAACTCAAACCAAACTCGCTGTTGCTGAGCTGATTCTCTGACTCAAAGATACCCGTCACTGGGTCTGAACTATCCAATTTTTGGTTAGCAGACATTATGTCACCAGGACTCCTTAAGAGTTCCAAAGTACCCCAGTAACATGAAGCACAAGAAGCTGTAGTGGCACAGTGGTTAAAGTACTCATATCTTAATTTAAAAGTTACTGGTTTATACCTACCAGCCGCTTCATAGGAGAAAGATGTAGCAGTTTGACTAAAGAAAGATTAGTTCTACTGTCATACAGTATCGCAATGAGTTCAAACTGACTGAAGGGTAATGGGTTTTTGTTTTTAAACTGCTTATACTTAAAACACATGCACACAATGACATTTAATAATGAATGAAAATTCTTAACACATTGCCTTCAAGATGGAGCTGACCCTCCAGTAGTTTATAGAGGCTGTAAATCACAGAGGAGATTGTGTATCCTTCTCCCTTACAGCTGCTGGTAGATTTGAACCAACTGCCTTTGACTGGGCAGTGCCAACCCCCTACTCACTAAGCTATCACAGTTTTCTAATTTTTTTCTAAAGAAAGTAGATTTAATGGTATTGCATGAAAGTCTTTGTTATCTTGGAAGAAGCCAGGGAGCAAAACAAAAATAGCAAGCATTTCAGGTCATGGCAAGTCAATGTTCAGCAGATGAAAATTACTGACATGGTTAAAAAGAATAGGGCATTTTAGGTACTACCAGGCCAAAACCAAATTCTAGAAAATACCTGGTAACTTGTGTCGGAACACATTTTCCATGATATGCTTAATTCCTAATCTCTGTTCCAAATTCTCAGGGTGTAAGCCAAACTCCTTTACCACTTTGTTAATGGCAAGATCAACTGCATTTATCTGGGAGGGTGTTGGGAGGGGCAATGTAGTCAGTAACTCTTCTTCCTCCTTTTCCTTTTAAGACAAAAACACTTAGATTAAAAATGGCTCAACCATATTTTTTTTTTACCTTCTACTACTTCACTGAGACAGAATTATAGAATATTCTGGATTCTTTATTAATCTTCCCTCTGTTAGTTGTTTTAGCCTATAAACATTCACAAATAAAGCATAACATGAATTAGCAATAAAAGAGTATATGGTAGATAGAAAGTACAAAACATTAAAATTACAATGTCAAAGTAATTATTACTTATTAATTCTGGCATATGATATGCAGGCCCTGGATATAACAGTGATGTTATCCTGCTATCCATAAGACTGACCAACAATACATATTTGACAAGTATAAAGAAAGTATCCAGGTTGCAAGAAATTCAGTAAATATAAGCTATAATTACAAGTTAAACATCCTTTGGCTCAAATAAAGAAAAAGAAAAACCCCACAAAACCCATACTTTAACAAAGCTTTTAATATCAGAGCCTTAAAGAAAAATAATGATGACTGCAATAACAGCAACCAACAAGTAAACCTATTTGTCTCGATTACCTTAAACGTACCTTAACGTTTTTCTTGTGCCTTTTTTCTTTGATATGCTTATGGGCAAATGCAATGGATTCTATTAAGACATCACAGAGTTTGCAGGTGTATTTTGCTGTAGGATAGTTTCGTGGTCGCTTTAATTTGAAGAGAATTATAGACAGAAAGATAGCTCTTTAAACATATAGGTAAATATTAGCCAGAAATTTACTTCCCATTTAAAACTGTCAATGTATTATTACTCCTCTTTATCACTATCAATATATTATTGTTTCTCTTTGTAACTCTCCTCAGTAGTGATTTTTATTTAAAGTAAGACAGTTGTAATTTTAAATCTTATTATATAGCAAACTAAGTATCATGTTTTGACTTGTGGTATTTAATACTAATAACCAAAGTAGAATGCTAAATTTACCAAAACATCTATTATCAATTACTAACATAGTTCAGACAGAAGACTGTAACTACAATGTTTACTAAGATATTACCCTTTCCAGTCTCTCGATGCAGTCTTTCTTCAGTCGCTCCTCAGCTTGCTGTAAGCCCAGGAGCTCTTTCACAGAAAGGACTGCTTCATCTATCACGGGGCCCTCTAAGTCTTCATCTTGCTCATTTTCATCATTCCTACTTCTCCTTGGTTTCTTAGGTCTTGACCTCTGCTTCTTGTTTTCTTAAGTTGAGGGGGAAAATATTATTGTCAATATTGAATTATACTACTTCAAGATAAAAAGCAAAACACGTATTTATTAATTTTTAAAATGTAACAAAATGAAATAAACCTACCTTTACAATATTACCCTAAAAAAAATAAATAGAATGAATAACACTAGAAAAGACAGAAGAAAAAGAAATGGCTGCATTCCTATAGAAAAAATCTTAGAATAATGAGTTCTTACACTGGATACATAATACATAGAAATCAAAGTTTTGGAAAATGTTAATAAAATTTAATTTCAAAATTATACAATTAAATTTCATTATCTTTTCTTGGTATACTACTGGGCACACTTAAAGAATAAAAATTATAATCTTTCTGAGGTAATTATCTTTGCTATCGAATATATTCTAGTGTATGTGCTGTTTTACTTGAAACTTTCCATATGTGCTTTCATTATTTAGAAGTAAACAATGTCAACAAGGCACAAATGGCTCATTACCAACTCCCCCTGTTTGAAAACTTAAAGTCAATTACACTCTTACCTTGTGTGGAAAAATAATATAGTTACAAGTTTAGCATCTAATTAACACTTAGGTGGAAAGTTTAGCATCTAATTAACAGGTGGAAACAATTAAGCACCCACCGTACCAAGAAGTCTAGGCCAATACTATACATGCTGAGGACAACTGCTTTCTCCTATCTTTATATTCATTTTAACTTCTTTGATTTCATACTAGGAACATTTTAACTATTGGCAGTTAAAACTATTAGCAAGATAAAAACTATTAGCAGCTGAAACAAAATCCGTAAGAACAGATTAACTCCTTTATTCTACAATTCCTATAAGAGCATCTTCTTTTTACAAATGATTTTTTTGAACAAAACTTTAATCTATGACATTGAAGAGGACTCAGGTTGAATGATAAAAATGATTTTAAATAATTTTAATAGATTCTATAGAGTTTCAAAGTGAAGTTACTACTAAGAGATAATATTAAAGCAAAATTTCTTTCCCAAATTAAAATATTGATAAAGGGATTAAAGTTTTAAGTGGCTTACTGAAAATTCTTTGGAAATATAAACCTCTTGAAATGCCTGACATCAGTAAATTTTTGTGATGTGTTCAGTTAAGCTGTTAATTGTTCCAGCAATTACAATAAACCAGCCAAAAAAACAGACCCACTGCTGTCAAGTTGATTCTGATTCCTGGCAACCCTCTGCTAGGTTTCCTTAGCTGCCCTGGCGGAAAGACTGTCTCATCTTTCTCCTTTGGAGTGGATAGTAGGTTCCAATCAACCTTTTTGTTAGCAGCAACAGGTAATCAACAAGGCTACCTGACAGATGTTGGAAAAAGTGTAGCCACAGTGCTCCTTGGAACTAAAGATGGTGAGGCTTTGTCTCTCACACTACACAGCTAGGCAGGCTTTTCCTTGGAAAGGGACATCATGCTCGGAAAGATGGTCAGCAAAGAGAGGAAGACTCCTGACAAGAGGGATTGACACAGTGACATCAGCAATAGGCTCTAGTGTGCCAGAGATTGTGAGGATGGTGCGGGATAGGGAAGGGTTCAGGTGGGCTGTTCATAAGGTCACTGAGTAGGACTCTACTTGAGGGCACCTAATAACAACATCTACTGGGGCTAGAGTAGAGGGTGGAGTTTTTTAGCAGAAAAATGAAGTACAGGACCTCCAGTATTCTTTTAAAAAAAACCCCAAAAAACCCAACCAACCAAACTATCAGTATCATCACTATGTAGTTGGGGGTGGGGGGAACCAAAATAAGTAATTTTCCAAGGACTGTGTTGTTGTTATGTGCCATCGAGTCGCTTGAGACTCATAGCGACCCTATGTACAACAGCCCTAAACCTTGCTCTATCCTGTGCCAATTGCACTGCCTCTGACACACCCATCCCGATTACCCCAGTCACTGAATCAATCCACCTCATCGAGGGTGTTCCCTTCCTGCACTGTCCTTCCACCCTCCCAAGCATGATGGCCCCTCCTTACAACATGTCCAAAATATGTCAGATGAAGCCCCAGAATCCTTGCCTCCAAGGAACCCAGTTTAACTCTCTCCAGGATGAATCTGTTTTCTGACTACAGAGTTGTAATTCTGATATTCCAGCTTTTATTGTACAAGATTTGAAAATAAATAACAAAACTGGAGTATATCTTGGATAATGAGACATCAACAACCACCTTTTGAACTAGTTACATAAAGTTTCATGTAAAGGTTTCTCTTGACACTGCTAAAAAATTTCTATCACTACTTAGGGGAAGACAGCCCCATCCATATTAATTGCAATACAAGCTCTCTACAGCCAACATTCCAGGTTTCCCTTGTACTATTTGCATGTAATTGAATTACATGCAGTATTCACAAAGAATATATGTAAACTAGTGGATGTTTTTCAGTTAAGATCACTAATGATATTATCCTGAAAACATTACACTGATACTTTAAGACATTTAGGGGATGGAGTGGGCCGTGACAATATAGAAAGAATTGAAAAACAAAGTGGGGGGCGGGGGGGGAGAGAATGCTAAAATAATTTCTATTACTTCTTCTTATACCATTTAATGGCACTCTCCTTATTGATATAGGTATGATTTAAAACATTATTTTAGCCTCTTTAATAATCCTTGTTAGGGCTGTTTGAATCAAAGTTTGTATCCTAAACTGAATTTCTCTTAAACAAAGTTAAGTCAAAGCTTCACATCTCCTTCATAAAGCCTATCAAAGAACATAAGCAGAAAAGCTTTTCATTTAGCAACTGTGAAATCACATGCTTTTATTTCACTTAGAGAAAGCATGAAAGCTTTTGGAATGTCTTTAAAAATGCACTTTCTGTTTAAGAATATTTAAAAAGCACACCTTTTTAAAACCAAACCAAGAATACATTAAAGAGGTTTTTAGTCTAAACAGAAACCAAAACTAAACTGATTGCCTTCAAACTGATTCTGGTGCATGGCGACCCTCCTCTGGGTTCCAGAGGCTATATAGATCTTTCAAAAGCTGAGTGGCTCGGTAAGTTTAAACCACAGATCTTTTAGTTCACTAACAACAGAGAATCCACTGTCCCACCAGGGGCTCCTTTTAAAGGGTTACTTTTTTAAAAAAAGGTTACTTTTAATATCTGTCTGGTTTCAACTTTTAAAACATTCCTTTTAAAAATGCTTTCCAAGGTCAATGTTTTCTAAAAGATCAATGATGGGTAACCAAAGTAAACTTCCACATTCTACCTGGGCCCAATATATATAAAAAGAACTCTTCACAAAATATTCCTTTAAGAGAAAAAACACAAAACCCCATCAATTTTAAAGTAAATGTTGCTTTCCTCTATCAAGAGTCCAGATTCAGCAAAAGATGAGTCAATGACCATAAGGAACAGAGAGCAAGATTTTAGTTCTACTACCTCATCATTATGATGAACAAACACAACTCACTGCTTACCCTCTAGCAGGTTTTCAGAAGCTGTATATCAGAGAGGAGGAGACTGCCTAACTTTCTCTTGTGGAGCAGGTGGATTCCAAGTGCCTGTCTTTAGGATGATATAATATTTTTTCTTTCCCTAGGCCATAAGAGTTCAGGTTTGGGTAAACGTAACCTTTCCAAGCATAAGGAATCTGATTAATCAGACGGCTGAATAAAAAATTACTAAATCACTTCTGATTTATCAAGATAGAGGGCAGTATAATTCATTCAAGGTCTTTTTAAAGATTGAACTTATAAATGGTTTTATTTTTCTCATATTTAATTCCTTTATATAACTTACTTTTTCTGCTACATCATACAAAATGTTAGTTTTATTATTTTAAAAATAGAAAATAATAATAGTGATGGTTGAATACAACAAATACATGTGAGAAGTGTAGAAACAGTAAATGTTTTGATAGTTATCTATTTACCAAAAAAGAAAAAAGCTGTAATTCCAGAAATGCTTGAGATTTTCAGATCCAAATAAGACCTCTCCCTTGTTAAGTATTCTATACGGAGGGAAAAAGAAAGTATTCCATATGGCCAGCATGAAAAACTCAAATGTGTACAGGTAACAAGTTGGTTACTGTGATATAAAATGAGTAAGAAAATCTGGAGACTGTGAAATGTCCAAACCTAAAACCATTTTTAAAAAGTTTTATAAAGTGCTGATCAGCTTACATGTTAATTTTATATGGCCACTGACAAAAAGCCCTTCATTGAATAAACATAAAAATCCATTTGTCCAAGTATAATCCCTATCTCTTAAGATATAATTTGTTTTTACACCTCTTTACTTGTATTAAGGTCCAATAAACTAAATGTGTTTCTAGTCTAATTCTGAATTTTTTCAACAATTACTGTTCATTAGGTAAAAAATGCCTTTCCTGTCTATAGGAATCAATACTATATAGACAAACTATCTGCTCTTAACCTTTTATAAAACAGCGTTAAGTGATCTCTTTGGTATAATTATTAACAAGCTTATGAATGGCGCTAAAGATGGTTGTTGGTTCACTGAAACTAAATAGCAAAATTTTTATTGTATTTCTGACATTCTAACCTTATTTTTCATAGTTTCTGGGGAGGAAAGAACCCCTTGGATCTCCCAAAAGTGATACATGTATGCTCCAAAATACACTGTTTTTTGCATCAAATTCAATGTTTTTTAAATTTGTATTTTGCTGATCTTATCAGATACTTAGTATTTGAACACAGTATGATAATATATAATTTTCAAAACACATGCACATCACTCAAAAATGATGATACTTTTCTAAGAATGACATGGTAAAAAACAGAGCAGCAATTCAAAATATCTTCACAAAAGTAAACAAGCTTCATGGCTACTTTTAATAAAGCAGAAACTATAAAAAACTAGGAATGCAGAGCAGAAAACTAAACTCATTTGTACGAAAAAGAAAAGACTTTGCTGACTTTTGGGTTAAAACATGACAATGACAAATTGAACACATTACCAGGGCTTCCTGCTTCCATTTCTGACACAGTTTCTACACTTGTTAGTTCTTTATGAAACACTCGTCTTACAGTTCTGCCGCCTCTTCCATCTTGCCATCTATAACCATCTTCACTTTCCTGAAAGGAGTCTTTCTTCACACGGCTTATAACAGAACTTCTAGGTCCAGGTTTAAATTCTCTCCAATTGTCTGTATTACCAGAAAGTTCATCAGAAAGCCATCTCTTATTCTGATCTTTGTGGTTGTCATTTATCCAAGCTGGTTGACTGTAAATTGGATTTTTAAATGCATATGGATTGTTGGAGACAGCATATGGTCCTTTTCTAGGAATATTCCCATAGTGTCCTGGTGGTACTTTTTTTTTCAGAAGGCCCTTTTCCATTTTACCATTATGGCCTTTAACATAATCCTCCATTATTAAATAGTCTTGCTGGAGATGACCCCTTCTGAAATCATCATCGTCTATAGTCCCTCGTTCTTTAGCACGCTTCAGAAAATACGGCTTTGCTGCATCTCCCATGGTCTTTAACTTCACTTTTCTTACTTTGCACCTGAAAGAAGACATTTTGGGGAAAATCAAATCATAACAACAAAGGTATCAAACTAAGTACATAAAACATCATATATTACTGTATTACTGCTGGCTCGAAAACCAGAAAAATTATTTTCTAATTTCTCTTTCAATAAAAGTATCTCCATCACCATTCACATTCTCAATGAGTACTGGAAGACAAGAGGCTTGGGTGTGCGATGTTGCTATGTAGAGTGGAGTTGGAACTGACCCATGACTGACCCTTCAGCGGGTTTTCAGTCTGTTAATTGCACAGGAAGAGACTGTCCATCCTCCTGCGGAGCAGCTGGTGGATTGGAACTGTGTGCCTTTGGGATTGCAGTGCAGATTCTTATCAGTAGGACACCAGAGCTCCCTCACATAACAAATGGTTCTTTTCAAAGAAAATCTCATCATGCGTTATAGCTGCTGAAATATACCTTTATTTTTTTGTACCCAGGGCTGCTTCTCCTTCCATCACTAGTCCCGCTGGGGATGCAGAGGTCATGGTGGCCACTGCGCAGTGGGGTTCCCTCATAGGAGCACTTCGTGACAGGGACTAGGGTTCCTCCGAGGCAACAGTTAAAGGGATCGGGGTCCCCTCAGGGCTGTATTCAGTGACAGCGACTGGGGCCCTCCAGGGCAGTGCTCAGTGACAGAGACCAGACTCCCCCAAGGAAGCGGTCAGTTACAGGGACAGGGGTCCGCCTGTGGGAGAGCTCAGTTTAAGGGACTGGAGCCCCTCGCAAGGCAGCACTCAGTGATAGGGACAGGGATCCCCCCAAAGGCAGCGATGTAACAGGGACCGGAGTCCCTTCAAGGCAGTGGTCAAGGACAGAGACCAGAATCCCCCCCAAGGAAGTGGTCAGTTACAGGGACAGGGGTCCGCCTGGGAGAGAGCTCAGTTTAAGGGACTGGAGACCCTCGCAAGGCAGCACTCAGTGAGAGGGACAGGGATCCCCCCAAAGGCAGCGATGTAACAGGGACCGGGGTCCCTCCGAGGCAGCGGTCAAGGACAGAGACCAGAATCCCCCCCCAAGGAAGTGGTCAGTTACTGGGACTGAAGTCCTCCTAGGGCAGAGCTCAGTTTCAGGAACTGGGGTTCCCCCCAAGGCAGCGCTGTGAGACAGATCAGAGGTCCCCCCCTCCGCCCCAGCACTCAGTGACAGGGATCATAGTTCTCCCAAAGCAGCGCTCAGTGACAAGAGACCGGTGTTCTAAGACCACGCTCGGTTACAGGGACTGGGGTCCCCGCAAAGCAGCGCTCAGTGACAGGGACCGGGGTCTCCCCAAGGCAGCGCTCAGTGACAGGGACCAGAGTCCCCCCCAGGGACCAGAGTCCAGTAAGCCTCAGTCCGTAAGAGCCGGCCCCATACACAAGGCGGCTGTTACAACTCCCTGCCAGAATGACGATCTGTTCAATTCCCTCGATGGTCCCGGTCCCAATCCCAGACCCAATCTTAGCTCAGTTTCCACAGCCTTCGGGGCCAGAAGTAGAGGAAGGGTAGGCGTTCCCCGCACTCAGAGCCACCACTGGAACCAAACAGCAGGAAGTGACCTACCTCCCCTATGCGGTTCCAGGGTCTCACCCGACATAGTGGAGACACTAAACTAAGTACTGCTGCCCACAGTCCCCCATAAAGTAAAAGTGGTGTCGAATCCGATAGTTTAGTCTCCGCCAGCACAGGGACTCCCCGCGATCAGAAAGTGGGGCGACTGGGCTGGAGCCAACGCACATTTGGAGGCAGGCTCGACCTCTGCTCTGTATCGGGAGAGTCCACCGGAGACCCGGTGCGGGTGCAGTCTGGAAGGACAGAAAGAAAAGACCCAGCAACTACCAACCTCCGCTGAGGTGCTTAGGTTTCGTTTCCCCGGCTGGGTTTTCCGTGTTTTCTTTCGGCCCTACTTCCGTCGCTCAATCTGTCTCATTGTGCGCGATTGGACACCAGTAGTCTCCCCGCCCCCACGTCCGCTGAGCACGCCGGAAACGTGCGGCGCGCGCAAAGGCCCGCCTCTGGGCGGTCCTCCCTGTTTTGGATGCGCGGTCCCCGCCCTCCCCTTTTTCCGTTTCCGGCTACGCTGTTTCCTCCTTCCGCTTTTTCCATTTCAGGCTCCCAACCTATCCTCTTCTGTGTTTGCCTCTGGGATTTTCCTCTGTAAGCGTTCGTTTTAGGGCGGCGGCTTCATCGTCGCGGGTCTCTGACTTGTTTTTCTAGGACGCGTTCTTCGCACATGCTTCGCTCGCTTTCTCGCGGCCGTCTGTTAGTATAGCGTGCATGGCTTGCCGAGGAAGCCGATTCTACAGAGGCTTGCGGCCGCCTAGGAGGGTAGCAGAGCGACCGCTCTCTTCTATGCAGGTTCTGCTTAGCCCCTTGAGGTCGGCGCTGGAGATGTCTGGATTCTCTGAGGAGTTAAGCCATGGGATGAGGCCTCGGTGCACTCTTAATGGCTTTGTATAACTCTGAGTCGCTTTAAACAGTTCATCCACATTTCAAGATGTACACGTTGCACGCTCTGCTTTTTTATGTTGTGTTAGGTTTGTTTCTAGGTGCGATCAAGTCGAGTATGACTCAGCGACCTCATGAATGGCCGACCTGAACCGTGCCCTATCCTGTACAAGCCTCATCATTTTCGACACACTTGAGCCGATTACTAAATCACCGTGTCAGTCCAACTTGGGGAATTTCATCTCCGCTGACCTTTCCAAGCATGATAATCCCTTTCTACGGAACAGCCTCGCACTCGGGCTGCACCTTCTCCAAGACATAACTTTTATTGGCACAGTCCATGCGTCTTCAGCACTCCTCTCCAGCACCGCAACTCAAAGGATTAATTTTTTTCTATCATCCTTATTCACTGTCCACTTCTCTGATGACTAGTAGGTGATTGAGAAGACCATGGCCTGAATCATGCACACCTTAAGTCTTCAAGATAACATTATTTATTATAAGTATTTTGGAGAGATCCCTGACAGCTTAATTTAAAAGCTTTTCGATTTGTTTGGAAAAACAACGTGCAATTGTAAATAATTATCAGGGAAGGTAATACTTGAATTTTTTAAACTGAAGAGTGCAATCCTTGAACTAACAAACCACCTAAAGTGGACGTGTTTTTATTTTGGGGTGCATTTTTAAAGTTTTTCTATCACTTTTATTAATATTGTTAATATTTATATGCATTCTGCTTTATACATATACAATCTTTATGTTGTATTTCACTCATGTATATTGTGGGTTCCCCCCCCCTTCAATCATGAAAGTGTATAAACTAACTACTTCATGCATCATGCCTTAATAGTCCTTTCAGTAAGCTGATTTCTTATTTGCCCATCTAAAACCAGTTCTCTGAAGGAACAAGCTTATGCCTTTTGTTCTGTTCAACTTGGAAACTTAGAGCATCTGCATGCACAAGTAAAGTCCAGTCCACAGCAAGCCATCAGGTCCCAGTAATCAACCCTAGCTTGCAGCATGCAACATCTCTTCACCTGGCTGGGTTCTGGTCAATTCATGCCCAGCCATTTGTGGCTAGGTTCAAATAGGCATAAACTGCAAGCTTAGGAATTAAGGTATTTGCTTTTTTTCCTTCTGTGTTATCTTCCTTGGTAATGTCTTCTAAATGTTTTAAAAGCTATAAACAACTGATAAGATTGGGCATTTTGACCATTTTAGTTCCTCTAATTTTTTAAAAATTATTATTTTGTGTGTACCGTCAAATCAGATCTGACTGGTACAGGAAGAGATTGTCTCTCCTTCAACAGAGCTTATGGTGAATTTGAACCGTGCATTCTGGGATTGCAGTGTAGCTTCTTGCCTTTAGGCCACCAGAGTTCGCCATGTTGTTGTTATGTGCTGTCGAGTCATTTGCAACTCATAGTGACCCTATTTACAACAGCCCTAAACCCTGCTCTATCCTGTGCCAATCGCACTGCCTCTGACACACCTATCCCGATTACCCCAGTCACTGAATAAATCCATCTCATAGGGGGTCTTCCCCTCTTGTGCCGTCCCTCCACCCTCCCAAGCATGATGTTCCTCTCCAAGGATCTGTCCCTCCTTGCAACATGCCCAAAGTATATCAGACGAAGTCCCAGAATCCTTGCCTCCAAGGAGTTGCTTGGTTTAATCCTCTCCAGGATGAATCTGTTTGTTTTCTTTGCAATACTCTTCTCCAGCACCACAGTTCAAAGGCATCAATTCTTCTATCCTCCCTAGTCATTGTCCAACTCTCTGATGCATTAACAAGTGA